GAAATCACTAACGGTAGGCACAGAAGGCGGCGGCGACGTGGGGCGCGACGCGGAAGGCGACCACATGTACCCAGGGGCCAATGCCCCGTGTGCAGACACGGCCGATGAACGGCGGCGGGCGGACGAGCGGGCGTGCGGGAGCACACGCCGACCGCGTGTGCGCTGGGCAACCGCCCAGCACGCAAACACGGCCAACAAACGCGCGCGCGCATGAGCTCAGGACGGGACAGACAATGGACAGGGCCGGGGTGTGCGGAACACGTCGACCACGAGCACACAGGGCCAGTGCCCCGCGTACAAATGCAGCCGACGAGCGCGCCGTGGGCGTGGGCACAGCGCCGAGCAGGTGGGAGGGCGTGCGGATGGCGCGTAAGAAGCAGGGACGAGTAAGCCTAAGCGAGCGAGGAGGACGGCGGCGGGCGCGGGCAACGAGCCCAAACCCGCGCAGGGACCACCGAGGTACGCCAACCCACAGTGAACCGGGGTAGGATACAGGTAGCACCACCCATGGATACGGGTACGCTCGTTGCGGGTGCGGCATGTCTCACCTGCTATCTTATACATTCACCGTCTTGCACACCCGCCGTCTTGCACACCTGCCGTCTTGCATACCCGCCGTCTTGCACACCCACCGTCTTGCTCGCCTACCTGCCATCTTGCATTATCAATCACCCACCGTTACATTCTCCTTCTGGTTGTGCTCGCTTTCTTGTCTGTTTGAAGTCTCGGTGTACTAAAACTGTAAGAGCCTACAAACTAGATCAAACTTCCGATATAAACTAGATTTGTTTGTTAACAGCATTGTGGGCAGTTTCAGACGAGAGAGAGCATGGACAAGAAGTGTGATCTGTTGCTATAAGGCTTGCTCAATATAGTTCCAGTCGAGCTTGCCTATGGCCAACACTGCCAAATTCATACTCTGTCACTGTATGGATGTGATGGTTCGCTTTGAGCAATGAAACTCGTTGTCAGTTGGCCCAACATGCACATACACTCTTCGTAACTGTACTGCAGTTACACTTGATATAGACTTCGGGATGTCATGATCATATGTTCAGTACAACCTCTATCAGCATTCAATAGTATAGAAGTACAAAGGAGTGGACAACTAGAAGATATGTACACGAACTCAATGATAGTGGTCAGAGCACCCACTAAATGCGTGAACACTCTCCAGTGTTTTGCCCTCAGACATTGCCTCGGCCATGTCCCCGAGTCACCCGAGATGGTCTCATTCTCTTTATAACTTCACCTCTGAGCCACCATATGCTATGAGACTTTGTACCAAGCATGACTATGTGTAGTACATGGCTTGTATAGAATTCTGTGAGAATTGAACCGTGGGGTGTGTTTGTCTAAGACATGCTCTCCATGTATAACCTTCTTAGCTATCTCAAGCTATAACATTGCCAGATTGCTTCAGAGAATTGCCAGCAGCCACATGTACCATAGACACAGCATGAATACAACTTCTGTATGTACTTGATTCAAACAATTGTCTTGCAGAAGCTGAGATTTAATCCACATGCCTCTCAATATCTCCAAACAACATGTCATTTTTGAAACATATCCTGAGATCCTCTTCCCATACGAGCTGAGATTACACAAAGCCAAAGTGCTCTTTACATACACAACAATGAGGCTAATGGCCTACGTGAGTGGCTTCCCTAATCTACTACATGTAGTTCCACAGCAAATACAGTAGATCAGCGAAGTATCATCATTGTCAATTGCTGCGAGCCATTCAGGAATCACTCTAACAGAACAAGGAATACCTCAGTGTCTTACCATTGTATCTCTATTTGCTGATATACAGTTACTACATGGTGTATTGCACCTCAACACCGTAATGACTGTCTATAGACACAGTCACGGTACAAACATATATTGGACATGTTCAATAATACATCCACACCATTGGCCCCAAACCAATGAGCAAACAGCATACAGTTTTGCACGTACATACCATTCAAGTCGAGTCAAGAAACAAGATGCATACTTGCTGCCTTGTCAATGTCAAGGAGGTTATCACGATTCAAGACGGTGAGTGTCAAGGAGGCTTCTTGACCAGTCCGCCTTGATACCTCCAAGGAGCTCTCCGTCTTGAGATGTCCGTCTTGAGATGTCCATCTCAACTTGTCCATCTTGAGATGTCCGTCTTGACAATGTCCGTCTTGAGATGTCCGTCTTGAGAATGTCCGTCTTGAGAATGTCCGTCTTGAGAATGTCCGTCTTGAGAATGTCCGTCTTGAGAATGTCCGTCTTAACTTGTCAGCCTTAACTTGTCAGGCTTAACTTGTCCGTCTTAACTTGTCCGCCTTAATTTGTCTGTCTTAACTTGCCCGTTTTGATTTGTCTGTCTTCACTTGTCCGTCTTGACACCTCCAAGAAGGCTTCTTCAATATGCTCGCCATTTTGATATCCTCCTTGACACTTTCCACATTGAAACCTCATTGGTGTTTGCCCACCTAGATACCTCATTAACACGTTGGTATTGACCAAGATGAGCCAACCATTAGTTACCTTGGGTCAAGAAGGTCTTAGTGAGTAAGAAGGTCAAGAAGGTCAAGAAGGTCAAGAAGGTCCAAGAAGGTCGGCTGAGTCAAGACGGATATCGGCCAGGAAAGATACCTCAGCTGATGCTCGGCTCATGCATTGTCTTGGGTGAGACAAGACAGTCGGCTGAATCCAGCAGGCCATATAGGCATATGTTTGTATAAGATCCTTGTAGTGAGCACGGAGTGATCATACATAAACTCCAGTACTTACCTGCAGCCATTCTTATACATGAGCTACCACTCGCTCATGTATGAGCGAGGCGCCGTCATGTATGAACGAAGCGCCGTCGGTCGTTACCTGATATGGCAGCTACCCCGGGCGCCTGGCCCCTTCGTCCCCGGCGGGTCGGTACTGGCGCGCGATGCGAGGCTAATACCCAATATGGATGGACATCGGGGTCAGGGCATCTGAGATCAGGTACGATCTCGGATCCCCTGCCGCCCTGCCCTGCCCGCTGCGTGGCGTCGGTTTCGGCCAAACCCGGGAGCTCGCAACGAGCCGAGCGAGCGGCGAGCGCTTCCGCCCGCCGTTTACGACCTCCACTAGCACCACCCCGCGTCGGTCACCGACGTCGTTGGAGCACAGCGGGCACGACAACAGCGAGCAGCCGACGCTGACATCGAGGTGAGCGCAGACGCACACGAGCGAGCGAGCTGACCGTAGCCACAGGACGCGGCGACGTGCGGTACAGCACACTCGTCGACCGCGAGCGCGTAGGGCTAATGCCCCGCGTGAAAACGCAGCCGACGGAAGGACGACGGGCACGAGCGGGAGCGAACGAGCGGGCGAGCGGACTGGCGGACTGGCAGAAGGACGGGCAGGCGGACTGTCGGGCAGGAAGACGGACGGGCAGACCGGTAGGCAGGAAGACGGGCGGGTAGGAAGGCGGGCGGGTAGGAAGGCGGGCGGGTAGGAAAACGGGCGGGTAGGAAAACGGGTGGGTAGGAAGACGAACATCCGATAGACAAGCGGACGGGTTGGAGAGTGGCAAGTGACCAGACGACAGCACACGCCCACCGCGAGCGTGCCGGGCGAACGCCCGGCACGCAGACACGGCCGACGGATGCAGACGCAGACGGGTGAGCAGGCGGGCAGATCGGTGCGCAGTCAGGCGATCTTACGGACGAGCGGGAGGGCAGGCGGGCGAGCGAGAGGGCAAGCAGACGAGCTGGTGGGTGGTCCAGAATGGGCGGACAAGCGGACAAGGAGGCGAGCAGGCAATGAGGTGAGCGGGTAGGCAAGGGGACCAGCAAGTGCGCAGGAAAGCGGGTGGATGGGCGAGCGAGAGGGCAGGCGGGCGAGAGGGAAAGCGAGCGAGAGGGAAAGCGAGCGAGAGGGAAAGCGAGCGGACCCAGAGTGCGGATGAGCACTACACACACGACGACCGCGAGCGTGCAGGGCGAATGTCCAGCACGCAAGCACGGCCAACGGACGAAGATGGGCGCATGAGCAAGGAGAGAGTGACCGTGACGGTGGGCAAGGTGGGCAGGCCGGGGCGCACGCACTTGGAATAGATCAGTCTGAATTAGATTTGTTTAATCCGGAAAACACTGCGTGCGCGTGCGATGTATAACGTTCAACGAACTGGAATGGCATGTTGGTAAATGGCCATGATGATCAGAATATATTTTGTACATACAACGACTGTGTCATTATCGAGTCCAGTATGTATCGCGCCGCAGCACCCATTACGACTCGAGACTCGGCTGAGAACCAGTACAGTACACAAGACATCCCTATTGTACACGAGAATGTTGTGCTACATCTCATCTGTTGTGATATATGCTACTGAACATGTATCTGATCCCTACTGCAGTATATAATACATGGACACAGAGTGCGGAAACGTCCCGAACGCGAATTATTGGTATGTTGCAGGCCTAAGTAGGACCTTTAAACGCGTTGTGATTGGCCAGGAACAGCCCGAGAACATCGGGTTTTCCAAATTCGGTGAGGCAACAAATAGAACCAAACGTTGGGTTTACGGGGGCGCCCGCAAGGCTCACTGCACTTGTGCGTGCTACTGTAACTCTACCATCTAGCTCTAGGCCTATCTCTGCACGGAAGACTGCACGGTGGAGTCTCCAAGACGCATTCGGTAGCGAGTTAACCCAGGTAAGCACAAATACGATGTGTGAGGCACACAGCCAGACTGACCCTCTTATGCCGTCACTCGCAGAGTCCTTTCCTCACTGAAGCACTCATCAACCAGTGGATTGAACTCGATGACCGTGTCGAATGGCACGTCGCCCAGGATAAACAGCACATCGGTCACGTAGTGCAGAGCACGGGTCGTGGGAACCCGCGCGGGTAGCGGGTACGGGTATGCCCGGGTACGGGTACGGGTCACGTTTTTGTGACCCGTGACCCGGACTGTACCCGCCACTTGCACAACCGCCGGGACGGGCTGCATTGGGACACTAAGTTCCCACCATGCTCGTGCCATCCCACCGCCCGAACGCAAGAAGCCCAAACGCGCGACTTTGCGGCCAACGAACGAACGGTGGGCATACAAGTGATGCGCGGGCAAGGTGAGTGAGTGCCGACACCGGCGGTCAGGTACGCTAATAGCAAGCACAGGGCGCAGCGACGTGCAGCACCAGTCTGCTGCACGACGCGTATGACGACCGACCGATGGACGGGCGACGGGCGAGCGCGGGCGGACGAGCGGCTCGGAGTGAGCAGCCTACCGGGCAGGAAAGCGGGCTGGCGAGTGGGCATGCGCGCGGGCGGACGAGCGGTAAAGCGGGTACCGCGAGCAGACAAGCAGGTGAGCAGCAATGTCGGACGTGGGTCTCGGAGTGGGTGAGCAGGAGGGCAAGTGGGTGCGAGGGCAAGGAGGCATAGAGCGCAGACCAGCACCACATACACGCGGACCGCGAGCGCGCTGGGCGAATGCCCAGCACGCAGACACGGCCGACGAACGCGCAGGCAGGCAGGCGCAGGCGGGAGAGCAGGCGCACAAACGGGCGGGCGGAGAGCGGGTACCGGCAGGTGGGCGGGCGCATAAGCTGGCGACAACGCGCACGGCGACTGCGAGCGTGCGGGGCGAATGCCGAACGGACCGCACGCCTGAGAACGCGACGCACACGACAACGGCGAGCACGCAGGGCGAATGCCCTGCGTGCAAACGCAGCCGACGGGTGCATGCCCTGCGGGCACACGCAGCGGGCGGGCGGACTGCGGGCATGGGCGCGAGGGCGGGCGAGTGAGTGGGCGGGAAGGCAGGCGGATGGGTGAGGAGATAGGCGGACAGGTGAGCGATCGGGTGGGCAAATGACCGAGTAGGAGAGAGCTGACGGGCAAGCGAGCAGGCGACAGCACACGCCCACCGCGAGCGCGCTGGGCGAGTGCCCAGCACGCAAACACAGCCGACGGATGGGTGAGCAGGCGAGCGGATGGACAAGCGGGAGGGCAGGCGGACGAGCGGGGGAGGGCAGGCGGACGAGCCGGTGAGCGGACGAGCAGGCGGGCGGTCCAGAACGGGCGGATAAGCAAGCGGACAGGCAGGCCAGGCGGCGAGCGAGCAAGGAGGTGAGCGGGTAGGTAAGCGGACCAGCAGGTGCGGGAGAAAGCTGGTGGATGGGCAAGGGAGAGGACAGGCGGGCGAGAGGGACAGCGAGTGAGAGGGAACGCGAGCGAGAGGGACAGCGGACGAGGTACAGCGGGTGAGAGAACACGAGCGAGAGGGAAGCGGGCGGGCGCAGTGTGGACCAGCACCACATGCACGGTGACCGCGAGCACGCAGGGCGAATGCCCAGCGCGCAAGCACGGCCGGCGAACAGGAGGTGGGCGCGTGAGCAAACGCGGGTGACCGCGACGGTGGGCAGACCCGCCCACTTGCCCGTGGACCCGCAGACCCGCCTGCACCCGTGCAAAACCCGTACCCGCCGTCGCGGGTCTGTACCCGGGCGGGTACGGGTACGGGTACACCTCGGGACACCCGCGGGTGTACCCGTGCTCTGCACTATCATCGGTGGGTACAAACGACGGCACGTAAGCGAGTGCAAACGGTGACATGTCGACCCCGCCGCCCGCGTCGACCAGCACAAACGGTACGTTAGTGGGGACAAATGGTGGCGAGCGGGGACAAATGACGGTGCGTCAACGAGTGTGAACCAGTTACCACACTGACTGAACGAGGCGTTGACTGGCCATCGACAGGGGTTGCCTCTAGCGCAGGAGTTTACAATCTATCGTCCGCAACTCCGGACACTGGATCAGGATCGAATGAAGGCCAGTACATTGGCGTTGCGTCGAGATTGAAACCCGGCGAGATCTCCACATTGGTGGAGGCAGGCCAGATCGAGGTGTACGTGCGTGCTTTGCCCATCATCCTGCAAAGTCAATGCCGCACCTATCATCTCCCCAGGCTTTTTTGCGATCCCCGTTCGCACGCGAAAGTCGCACAGAAGCTGCTGCGTGATCGGCCAGCTCGCTACATCCGTTAGCCGCGGGCTGATGAACACAGGTTGATCAGGGTGGGCGAAGGATGGGAGGCGGCGGGTGATAGGTGGGACGATGACTCGGAGATACGGGAGGACGAATTGTAGGGACCTGTGGGTAACGAGTGGGAACGCGATGGTGGGTCGGTGACGAGCAGGCGGGCAACAGACGGGAGGATGGCATAGTCGATGTTTACCGTAAGATAATCTTGCCCGCGCGTTTTAGAGCCAGTGTATTGTACATTGGCGACATCTTGCGTGAATACAGACTATCTACGGCTACAGCAAATGTCCGAGTGTGACGTCAGGGCTTCAACTACATAGTGTAGTATGTTATGAGGCACGACATATGTCCAATGTTGTGGACCGCGACATACAGGCTGTGCATTTTCGGACCTCGATACTTAAACCGTTCAGGTATAAACTGTCCAGGCAATATGCTACACGTGAAACGGATATATACGGCAATGTACCTAGCCCGAGAAGATATGTCATGCGGCCCGACATACGCATATCTGAATCTGTAGATCACATGAGATCTCGTTGATTACAAACCATGATCGCACTTGCCCGATGAGCCCCAAAGTGGAAGAGCGCGCGATGGGACCTATTATGGTAGTAGGGGCCGCCGCCGCAAGCTCACCTTGGCACCGGGTGACCTGGGCTATCCCTAAAGGGCAGCTGCCCAATCGGGTAGGGAGCGGGGCGTCCGCTGCAGTGATTACAGCGCCTTTATATATGAAGGCTTGCTGTAAGCTCTGGAGTTTATGTATGATCCATTTGTGCTCAGCACAGGGATTCATACATGAGTCTGCCAGCATCTGGTGAATCCAGACGGTGGTCGGCTGCAAAAGCTTTGCAGCCGACGGTCGGATAGTGCATCGTCTTGGGCGAGACAAGAAGGTCGGCTGAATCAAGGCGGTGGTCGGCTACAGATTTTCTCCAGCCGAGAGTCGGATAGTGCATTGTCTTGGGCGAGACAGAATGGTCAGCTGGGTGAGAATGTCTGGGGCAGCCAATCGTCCCACGCACCGCCTTGCCCGCCTTGTGCCGCTTTGCCCGCCTTGCGCTCGGCCGACTTGATCACCTTCCATGAGACAGTTGCGGTCGGCCGAGGTCGGCCCATCCCATCCCATTCCATGAGACTGCGCGTCGGCTGTACCATAACCTTCCATGAGACAGCTGAATGGGCTCAATGAATCTGGGAGTGCCGCGTCTTCCTCGACACATTGTTAAGACCCTTTGCTGCGCTTTCCTTTGACCATTCGCCGAACAGCTGGCGGCGCTGCCCTTCGTTGGCCTCTAGAAAGTCGAGGAGTCGGTCGGTCCGGTACCAATATTTCGAGTGAGCCCAATGGATAGTCAGAGTGTCATCGCCGGGGCTGGCCTCGTCGACGTCAAGCTCCTCGTCGACGTCAAGCTCCCCGTCGGAGCCGACACCAGCAGGATTCAGAGAGGACATGTTAAAAAAGCAGAGGAAAGGCGAAAGTGACGAGTGTAGCCTCCTCGCAAGGCGCGGGAGGCAAAAGAGAGAGACGGGGACCATCGAGGGAGGGGAAGGGGAAGCCAGGTACACGACCTCCCCGTGCGGAGGCCTTGCGGCGGGTAAGAAGCGTGACAGAAGCGTAACGCGCGACGGAGTTTGAACAGAAAAAGAAATCATCACGATGTTTTTTCCCCACGCTACACACGCCACCAATCCTCCGTAGTACGATCGGACGATCGGACGTGCCCGATGCGCTGTAGCGCCGTTTGCACGGACAACTTTGAGGGACGCTAACGTGAGTGCCCTAGCGATCTGGGAATCTGCAGACTGACCCAGTGAAACGCATGTCTACTTCAGTTACAGCTGCGATCACGGAGAGAAACAGCCAGTGTCGGGCTCGCTTGATGCACCAGCTGTGGCCCCTCCGAGCTTCATGGCTACAGAAGATAGACTGCGCGCGTTGCCGTTGTCGAACGAATGACAAGTCCCTCAGCGTGTTGTCGCCTTGATGATGTCAACGAGCCTGTGCTGCGGTCTGCCATAGCATGCACTTCAACAGAATCCACACCTGCTGATCGTGACGGGGGCCGGTCATCGTGAGTATGCAATTTCCGCAAAGGATTGACGAAAATGTGAAACCACGGCGATCGCATGTAGATTCAGGTATGTAAGAGTCGATTGCGACTTGATTGCAATTGCCCTTGATTGGGGATAACAAACACGCTCCGAGTCTTCCAGGCGGTTAGCATTGCCCGCGACGAAAACATTGATTTGATTCACACTAGGATTTCTCCTCCCGGCGCTCATCGAGATTGAAGGCCTCACGCACTGTAAGTCTTGCAGACTAAGTAGCTTCTCGGACGACAGCTGTCATGCGATGCGATATACTGATTATTGCCGTCACAAGGACTCGTGCACATGCACGATCTCGGGATGGTCAACAAGCCCGTACCCGAAGACTGCGCACAAGCCACTCGGAATCCTGGTTTATAAAGCGCACAGGACCAACTTGAAAGTTGCGCTATCTCGACCCACAGTGCGCTCATCGAGGTCGTCATCTCTTCTGTCGTACCCAGCGCGAGCGCAATCACTTCCTATGTTTCACATGCCGTATCAGCGGTCACTGTCACCACAGCCGTTCCGTTGCGCCAAGTGCGGCGGTTGTGTCTTCCGTGCCAAGCTGGGAACCTTTCATCGCGGGGAACGTATCTCAGGAGCAGATACGAAGCTTTCTGCAGTCGGTCAACTCTGGCGTATACATCGGCGCCATCTTCCTCGGTTCGTCTATCACACTGTTACAACGACGCTCGAAACTGATGATCCTTGCTTCTTGCAGGTCTACACACATACACATTCGCCCATGCCCTGTGGTACATATGGAAGGACAAGAGAACGAGCAGACGTGCTACGCTGCTTCCCCTGATTAGCGTGCTCTGGGTGATGCGGCGCTCATGAACGAGGCATGTAACATCGGCTTCAACGCGAATGCGTGGCTTCAATACGACGGGACGAACGAGTCGGCCTTCCATTACTTCGCTAGAAACCAGACTTCCTCGTTGAATGGCGCCGCGCTGGTCGGTGCTTTCATCAACGTCGTCCTGGTCGATGGGTCATTGGTACGTGCATGCCTACTGGATAGTATATGACGACACTCACCTCCAACCCTGTCTCTCGCATCAGCTCGTGCGATGCTACCGTTGGTGGAAGAACCTATGGGTGATCATACCGTTGGCGTCGCTCGTGCTCGTGTCCTACGGTAAGCGCCCTCTCAAACTGTTTCACAACTGCTCATAGGGTATCTCGTCAGTCTGGTACCTGCTCGAGGTTGTGTACACCGCCGGACACGTAGAGGATGCTAATAGCGGCTGGATCATACCCTTCCTCAACAGCTGGCCCGTCACTATCGGCCTCGCAGGGGCCCTGCATGCCATCTACACTGCCTTGTTGGCTTCCCGCGTCATTAAGCTCTCCCGCCAGGCAGGGGAACACGCCGGCATTTGGGCGATCAGCGTGGAGTCCGCCCTGCCATACGGTATCATCTCGTGTTCATGATCATTTACTGCGCAAACGTCATGGCCGCCAACGCCTTCATACCACTTTTGGTGCGGCTGCAGGTGCGCATATACTGGATGCGAAGGATCTATGATGTTATACGTGCTCTGACTGCCGTGCGCATCCGTAGGGCATCACCGTTGACCTCATCATCATGCGTACATTGAAGGCCGCCTTCGCGTCGCTGCCTGCACCCGTCGTGACGCCACAGGCGACGGTCGCTACGCCT